ATGCAGGCATGAGAAGAATGAAAAAAGGAAGGTTTCTTGCAATTGAGATATCTGTATGCTTAACAGGAGGAAGCCTGGATGGCAGGAAGCTGTGGAAAGCTAGGAGTGGGAGAGGATGGAGAACAGATCAGAAATGAAGGTGACCGGGTGACAAAGGCACATTTTACCTACTTCACAATTTAGCATAAGGCTAAACTGTTTATGGTTGAGGGAGGGGTAGGATTAGAGAGGGCCGATGAATAATTCCTTGTCATTTAAAATAAAGCAGAACTAAAGAATGGGAGGGCACAACTTCTAATGCCCTACCCCAAACAAATCTAATCAGTCCCAGTATAAGAGCAGCTGGGGCAGGCTGGGAAACTGCCAGGTACTGAGGTGTGGAGGGAGGAGTATGGCCCAGGTCTTAATTTTTTAAACTTTGACAGTTGCAGGAACACTCAGTGGTGTTCCTCGTAGCCTTTTAAACTATCACCTTGTCCCTTCTTCAGAGCATAATTTTGTCATTAAAGCTTTCACTTGGCACAAATCCGATTCATCAGGGAAGCTAGGACTCTGTTGTGTGCATGCTTCAAGGCAAAGTTAAAGTCTACTTTGGCAAGCGTTACAAGGAAAGAGAGAAAAGAAAATAAGAGCCATAAATCATCTGGAGGCCAGAATACAGGATTAAAGATACTCGATCCATTCTCGAAAGGACTTCGCCAGCGAGTGTTTACCTAATGATCCTTTATTCTCTTTTAGCCTTTAGTCCCTCTCACTTCATTTCAGCTACAGAAGTGACATCTTCCATCAGAGGCTGCCCCGCTGAGGGGGAGAGGCGTGTCACCATGTAGGCTTGTGGAAGACTTGCCCCTGGGGGTCCTTGTTCTTAGGCATCCATTTTGAGACGTTCCCATTCATGTTTATGTGATAGTACATCTTCAGAAATAATAAACACTTGTAACTCAAGCTCTGTTGGTTTGTGGCAAACAGAGGAGAATGGCGAGATTCCCATCTTGTAACTAATCTGCTCCTCTTCACGTGACCACTTTAGTCGTACATTCACAAAGTCTTAGCGAGAGTCGGATTTTAAAAGAAGTGAAATTGGACAATTTGTGAAAAACTTAAGCTTTCGGATTTGAGTTCCCTAGAAGTGAACTTTAATGAACTTTTCTTCCTTTTTAGATAGCCCAAGAACAGCTCTACACCTCATCGTGAGTCACCTAGGTAATTATTACCTGTTGATTTTGTAATAAAATTCTACTGATCAAATTTATCATATTGGTCTTTTTTTGTTTTGAGACAGTGTCTTGCTCTGTCACCCTGGCTACAGTGCAGGGGCACAACGTAGCTCACAGCAGCCTCAAACACCTGGGTTCAAGTGATCCTCCTGTGTCAGCCTCCTGAGTAGCTGGGACTACAGGGGCACGCCATGATGCCCGGTCAATTTTTCTATTAATATTTTTTGTAGAGACAGGTTTCACTCTTGCTCAGGCTGATCTCAAACTCCTAAGCTCAACCTGTCCTCCCACCTCGGCCTTCCAGAGTGCTATGCTAGGTTTACTGGTGTGAGCCACCGCGCCCGGCCTGGCCTGTCACATTGCTCTTTATATTAAGAAGAAAAAAAACCAATTTATATATGCCAAGTTACACCTGCAGATTGAAGAGAAAAAAGTTTGGTTATAATTTGTTTTTAAATTTAACGATGCACTGTGTCAAGAAATATGGTAAGGAAACTGTTTAGATAATACAATGAGCTTTACTTCTTAGGTTCAGAAGGGGGTCTTACCTTAATTCTGGTTATCAGCATCCATTTGGAAAAGAGGTAACTTGAAAAAGAAATCAACCCTTTGGAGTTTCTCGTAACATTTTATGTTATAGTTTGAATCTAGTTAAAGGTAGTCCTCAAATGATCGCTTATCAGTGAGTTGTTTGCAATTACAACGTATTTGCCCAGAGAGAAGAAAGACGAAAACTAGCATTTATTTAGCCAGGGTGTCCTGTTAGAGTGTGTTTCCGGTGTAATGATGCGTGTACCCAAGAACTTAGTATACTGTGAATAAATATTTGTTGAGTGAATAAATAAGCAATTAGCCCATGGCAAAGTGTTCTCTGTGATTCCAGGGACAAGGGGAGCCTTCCAAGCACGTTCCCTATTGTTCCCTGGAGCTAGAGGAAGCGCTCACACACTCACCACTGGAGGTTCCTCTGCCCCAGCGCTAGGACTGGAAAACTGCCCTTGCATTTTCCTGCATGCCACAGAGAACTAATCACAGTCCAGCTAAAGGCTGTCGCTGGGTAATCTTCCTGGGATACTCAAAAAAGATCCTGTCCCGGTCCCTTGGCCATGCCCAGGGATATTCAACAGCTCCATGGTAGAAGGGAATTTTCAGTTCCAATCCCCCCATTCCCCAAACTTTCACTAATCAGCTGGAAGTTTGATTTCAGAGCTACAGCATTGGGTGTAGTTTTGAAATTTTACACGTAGCACTAACTGTTTTATATCCATTCTTTACGGATTATGTGGCCAGAATGACCTAAGTCAGAATCATCAGTCAGCTGGGGTGTCTTCACAACTCAGGACGGAAACTCCTAGGATTCTAGTCACCTTCTTTATTTGTATAAGCCATAAACACAAAAGCTAATCCTGTTGCATAGTCCTGGTTCAATTCATCCGTGATAGGCCCTGAGAGGCTTGCCTTGGTTTCAGAGACGTCTAATTAAGCCGTGGCAATTTAAAGGAAGGGAGAACAAGACGTGGCTGATGGTGTTTGCTGTGGCTCTATTGAGTAAGCAAGAAACTCTTGTTTCTAAGGTGCCTGCAGTTACTTCAGGTCAGAGAGATTTGCATGAGAAAATTTTGCACCTGGAAATATAAATTGCATGCTTCATAATTGTATGTGCAGTAAAGGAAGTTTTATTAAGGCCTCAGGGCAGATTGGACTTATAGCCCATACATGCTAACACCAGTCAGGAACAAGCTCAGGGGCGAGTTGGAAAGGATTGAAATTGGAGCCTAGGGCAGATGGAGACTCAGATTCTAAGCAATATGTTTTACGGTTGGTACCAGGAGTTAGCGCTGGGAGATGCCTCTGAGCTAACTGAGCAGAAGCAGAAATCTGGCACTTTTCTTCTTTATATGAAATAGTCAAGTTTTGTAGGGGAAGGTTAAGTCTAAGAACAGTTTGAATAGCTGCACTCTGGAAATCTGGGGAGATGAAAGGTGAGTAATTAAGGTGGTTTCGGTCTAAACCGTAGTGAGTGTTCAGCACTGTTTTTGGCACAGATCGGTCTGCCAGAATCGTTACACCCTTCCCAGAAGCTTGGGGCTGAGAGATTAAGGACGGCACAGGTCAAAGGTGAGCTGTGTAATGTATTTATTTGGGAAAGTATACAAAAGCCCTTATTAACCTTGGCTTTTGAAGGCGGAGCTGTCAGTCCCTCACGTTCACGGTCACATTTTCATCTCAAAATGTTTTTAAGCAGTCTGTATCAAAACAGAATCTATGTAACTCAGGTAGAAACACGTCGAACTGCACGGTACCTGTAATACTATGTACGCTGGCGGCTTCGTTTGGTAGAAACCTATCATGTGAGCTCTTCTTTTGTTCCTATAAATTGAGTTACTATTTTTGGAGAGAAGGTAACTTATTAAGAAAAAAAGTATGGGATGGAGGGAATGTTCTCTATTATTAAAAAAAAAAATTCTTTCTAGAAATTAAGCTTTCAGCTCCCTAAGCTTTTAGGGGAACACTTACTAAAAAAAAAATGCTAGATGTCTTTTAGTCTTAGGGGGGTTTAGCAACACACCATTACTGTTTGCAGACTGATTCTTCTGTGAGAAGGCAAGCTGCCTTAATGACAGCTTATGCAATAACAATCTGTGATATAGTACTTACCTGGATGTAGCAACAACTGTGCTCTAAGCCAAGAAGGAGGGGGAAAAAAAAGTCAGTATCTTGTGCGTGAGAAGCTTGTAGATACCCTGAGGTGACTTCATATAATTCTAAAATAGCAGGTAGCTTCTTGCATAGCTAATCAAGGCATCAGCGCCCGGAGCAAATGGAGGTGGCTGACAGTGTGCTTTGGTTTCAGATGCATTCAGCTCTTTTTGAGTGATATGGGCTTAATTCGTGTTCTAGTTTCTATACTAAAAGTTTATGCATTCTGATTTGGCAAATATCCTCCCCTAGAGCCTGACAGCTCTGTGCTTTGATAAAGCTGTTGACCTTAACGTCTTACTTGTGTTTATTCATTATAGGTGGTGAGAAAGTTAGTACAGCTGAATAAAGGGGAATTTTTGTTTTGATTTGCTTTGTTTTTATAAAGCATTTGAATTATACCCCCACTCTCCACTTCCAGTCATTGCTTAGCAAAGGACGCAGGTGGCTCACCTGAAAAACTTGAAATACACACTGTAGGTGAGTGGAAGGAGCTTAGAGAGAAAGGAGTCATCCTGACTTTGTAAAGGGGATGGATCATCTCTAGAGAGAGAGAAGTCCGTAGGTCAGAGTGAAGGTCACCGAGTGACAGCCTTAGATAGTTTTAATTGCTAGTGTCTTGAGGTTTTCTAACGCAAGTCTAGCATTAGCAGGTGGCTTTGATTTGTCATTTTATCTGTTCAAGATCTGGGCTACCTTTCTGTTTCTATGAATCCTGCGTATGGCGCATAGAGGAAATGGTTTCTCATAAGGACTGTTGGCCACTGGCTAGGCAACCACTGGCCTGAAGTGGACTTGCCTTATGCAAGGGAAGGGCTCCACATCACATTTATTGCTTTAGTGCTCAGGAAGCTGCAAGTGGAAACTCCATGTGCAAAGAGCCCATAATTTTACTCTAATAGATATTTAGCAGCTTAAATGAAATAACAAGGAGTACATTCACCCAGGCGCCATCCAGGAGGATTTTGTGGGTATTTTACATTCCACTCTTTGAAAGGAAAAACATAATTTTTGATACTTTCCCAAGATATATGAATATTCTGGTATGCAAAGCGATAATACATAGCATACCTTTAATGTTGAACCAAATTCTGTTTGGCCAAAAGGATTTATTGCTGTCAGTATAATGCAAGCCAGTCAATCAAGTTGAATTTTTCTTCCAAATCAGTTGATTAGAGCTCGCTCAGGCAGCTACTTGCTTTTCCACCTTGTTTGTTCACATGCTGCTGATTTTCTTGTGCTTAGGAAAGAGGCAGGAAGTCAACAAATATGATGGCCACAATGTGCCACTCTGTGCGTGTTCCCCCTTAGTCCCTGGACCCCAGCTCTCTCATGGATGGTTTGCATTCCTGCAGGTTTTCTTTCTAGCCACTCAAAATTCAATGGGTCTAAGCCGAGTTTGTTATCCTGTCTCCCATCCAATGGCATACTCATCCAAGTCATAATCATAGAGCCTTCTTTTCATTCTTCACTGGCACATCCATTCAGTGCCCTCCTTCCATGACTGTCCTTATGCAGTCCGTCAGTGTGTCTACACTGCATTATTGCCATGCCAACAGAACTGTGGTGTAGTGGTTACCCTGGCAAAGCCCTCAGGCTCTGTAGTTAGGATGGACCAGGGTCAAATCTTGCCTTTGCACTTGGTGTATGACTTCTGTTATGACCCGTCTGTAACATGGAAGAATAGTAGGGCTTTCCTCTTAAATAACAGCATGAACATGAAGTATTTAGTGTGGTGCTGGGCTAGGAAGTATTCAATACATGTTAGTTATTATGAGTGTCCACTGATCTTCCTGCCTCTGTATCCCATCTTCCCACAATCAACAGAGTGGTCTTCATCCTACAAGAAATTGATCAAGCCCGTGTACTCTTCAGACGTTCCCAGTCCTGATGGTTCAGGCTTTTGCATGCACTCAAAGTCCTTTCTGCAAATGGAGGAACCCAAGTTCTTCACACCCAAGGCCCATGTCTGCACCCTGCATCCCAGTCCCACTAGACTCCTGGTGCTGCCCAACCCACTCTCGCACCCCTGGGCCTTGGCTCATGCTCTACCTGGAACACCTCTTTCTTCCTCTGCCACTTGTAAAAATTCTACTCTTCCCTCAAGGTCTTATTCAAATGCCACCTCCCCCAGGAAACATTTTTATCTAAATAGTTTTTGAAGTTCTTCCTTGACCATCTAATTAGAATTGATTCCTCTTTTGGGCACAGGCTCACAGCGCTTTGCTTGTACCTCGAGTTAGACATGCCCAGTTGTGTTTGCAATAGAGTCAGTTACTTACATCTGTCTGTCTCTTTTATGGGCTTCTAAACAACTTCAGGGTGGGAACTGTGGCTTTTTAAAATCTCCGTATCCACAGAGTGCTTTGTTTCTAATACAGGACAGGTAAGTGTTTTACAATTGAATTAAAATTGAGTATTGGATAGCTTCTAAATATGTGTAGGTGAGTTGGGTCCACTGGTCTGGGCACATCTATTACAGAGATTTGTATGTAAGTGTGGTTCTGGTAACATCATAGTACAATCAAGTGAAAGGCACGGGAATTTGTGATCTCTTTAATGCTTGGCAGCAGAGATGGTCTCCACTTGTCCCAAATCTCTGATGACACAGCAGACAGGATGTGAGCTGGCGGACAGGAATCATCTGTCACTTGGGCTCACATGGAGAAGTCAAGGTCAAGGAATTTTCCCTCTACTGAGAGGATGGAGAGAGGGAGAGCTGCTTCTGCTTGGTGCATAGCCCCAAATTGTGGTTCTTGGCCACTCCAAAGTGAGGTTTCGGCGGGGTGAATTGAGATTTATTCCTGGATGACAAGAGGTTTCCAGGTTGTGCTAGCATTGCATAGGAGGCCTGATTCGAGCACAGAGAGAGACACACTTTCTCATTTGCTGAAAAAGTTCACTAGCTGTGCAGGCGGGGAAAATGTTCAGAGTGTCTGCGGTGAGGATGCTACCTGCTCACTGCAACCTTTTCCCCTTGTTCCTGAGTAACAGAGTTGCAGCTGGGCTGTGGCTGCCTACCTCAGGACTGCACTCCCGGTCCCCCTTGCAGCTAGGTCTTAGGCAAAGAAATGTGCTCAAAATGGATGTGTGTGACTTCCTACTCACTTTCTAAAAAAAGTCTCTGGTGCTGCACTGTCACTTTTTTCTCTTTTCCAATTGGCTTGGGATGGAAGCCCTTAAGCTGCCCCCCCCCCAAGCCAGTTGTTGAAGGTGGCAGAGCAGTGTCAGCCTGGGGCCCTGAGCACCTGTGCGAAGGAGCACCTCCTGCTGAGTCTGGGACCATTCAGACATTGCTTTGCATTTGTCTTAGCAGCTGTCTTTCTGCAATACAGTGTCTTTGCTTTTCCCATCTATATATAATATTAATAAAATTACCAACACACATTTATTGAATATTGACTAGGTGTAAGGCCCCGAGGGAGATAAAAACATGCATAAATATTTCATAGTCCCTGTCCTTAAGGATTTTATAGTCAGGTTGAACAGAAAAAAACAGATAACCAATAGCATGCATGAACTATGCAGGCAGGCTATCACTCAGACCATGGAGAATACACACTAGGGTAGAAAGATTCCTTTAGGCTAGAGCGAGCTAAGAATTCTCCTACAGGAGGTGAGACTTGAGAAATTTCTTGAAGACTGATCAGCTTTGGAAAGATAAAGAGGTGCCAGGAAAGCACTGCAGACGGGCAAGTGCAGCACGTGCCTTGAGATTGAGGGAGGTGATAGTGAACTCACTAGTTTGGATGGATGAAGCAATTAGTTTGCATCAGGGAGTAGTGGTAGTTACCTCTGGAGAGGTTGTTGGGGTGTGATTGGGGGAAGTCTTAGATACCAGACTGCCTAGGAAATCGGTTTATCTCCCCTCAAGCCAACGGGGAGCTGTCTAAGGCTGCATCGTTGCATACTCACGTGAATGTACCAGTGCGAACGTAGTCACGCAAGCAACCTTCTGTTTGCTCACAGATCTGTTGTCCTGGTGTCTTGTAGGAAGCTGTGAGAAATCTGGTTAGGTCTCCAAAGTACAGTTTTTGAACAAATAGCTGGTTTGTGTACTAAGGGCCCAAGGCCATTGCACAGAACAACCTGCAAAGGAAGAAGTACATGGATGGCGGTGCCCCACCTTTAAAACAAACTTCCTCTCATCTTCCTGGTCTCCCACTTTCTACACCAGTGACTCCTCACTGTACCTGTCTTTGTGTAATTACTTCTTTGAAAAAAAAAGCAGGTAAACTTTGCATGTTTAATCTCATTCTTCTTACCTCACTAACTGGCATTTCATTGATTTCCCTGTCCAAGAAGTCATGTTCAGACTCGGTTCCTCTGCAGTCAATCTTGTTTGTTTTTGTTTATCAACCACCTAGCAACGCAGTCTTTAAGAGAGACCTCTTTAACAATTGATATTCTACATGCGTGTCTATGGTATTGTGTAGATTTTTCCAGCTACACACACACTTCTCTTCCTTTCAGAAACCAGGGGCAATTATCTCAAAAGTTGAGAAGGTACCACCAGCTTGTCTTTCTCCTTGGGGAAAATCAGACTCATGGAAAAGTTACCTCTAGGTGTTTTTCCTCGTCTTATCTCCAAAGGGTTAGACTTCTGTTGTCTTGAAAGGTGCAAAAGTTTAGATGAAGGAGAGTTTGATTGCAGCTGGCAACATTTGAATCAAGCTTTCAACGTGGGAGGGCTAACATTAACTTCAACGTGTTTCCGAAACACGGGAGGGTGGACGGCCAAGATGCCGGAAGAGTTCTGTGACCCTTTGTCCAAGAGCGACCTTTCTTAAATTATCGAAGCTAATGTGGGAAGAAAATAGTGTAAAAATGAGAAGTCTTCTTAGGTTAAAATGTTTGAATCATACAAAATATTACTCCTGACAATATGATGGAAAATGTTGTATAATTCTTTTTAACGTCTTAGAAAATTGGGAATGGAGAGTTCTTTGGGGCTGTAGAAAAAAAATCTCAATTTAAACTTTGCCATCTCAGTCACTTCTTTTTTTTTTTTTTTCAGCATATTATGAGGGTACAGATTTTAAGGTTTCAATAAATGCCCTTTTTCCCCCTCTCCCCACAAGTCTGAGTTTCCAGCATGACCATCCCCCAGATGGTGCACATCTCACTCATTATGTATGTATATACCAGCCCCACTCCTCCCCTCCCACCTGCCCAATACCCTATTACTGTAGTACCTATGTGTCCACTTAGGTGCTGCTCAGTTAATACCAGTTTGCTGGTGAGTATATGTGTGCTTGTTTTTCCATTCTTGGGATACTTCACTTAGTAGTATGGGTTCCAGCTCTAACCAGGAAAATATAAGATGTCAGTCACTTCTTAAGTCATTGAATATTGAGTGGCTTTAGCGAACAGAATTGTCTGGGAATTTGGCTTCATTTTTATCATATTCTGGCAAGTTGTGCTTAAACAGGTCACGGAAGTGTATTCTTTAAATGCTATCTCTGTGTTTTCCCTCCTTTCCACTGAAAGTAGGACTATCGGTGAGGAAAATGAAGCCCTATTGGTGTTAGCATCACATGGATACTTGCTGAAATATGGATTTGAAGTGAACAACATGACTATTTATTTAACTCCATCCATGGCTTTGCTTATATTTTCCTACCCCTACCTGCCAATTGCTATTTCTTCCTTTGGTTCCCCCCTATTACTTTTCTTAGTTATTACACACTTCTGTGTTTGTTATTAAAGTTTATGATTAAGATTAGGGGGAGAATGAGGAATGGCTTTTGATGGTATGGGGCTTCTTTTTGAAGTGATGCAAATGTTCTAAATTGATTGTGGTGATGGCCGCACAATTCTGAATATACAAAAACCCATTGGATGGATACTTTAAATATGCAGATTGCATGTTCATGAATTCTGTCTCAATAAAGGTGTCATTTTTCAAAAAGTTTATGGTTATTCAGATCTTCAAATTTAAGAAGTTGCCCAAAAGATCTTGCACTTTCTTGTATTTCCAACTTAGCTTGTCCTCATTGCTGTATTAGGAAGTTCATCATGAAATCAAGTTGATATTGCCCATCTTCTCCAAGTTCTGCATGTTTTATTAAGTCTTGGCTGAGACATTCCAATGTGTAGTTGAAATCAATGACTTGTGGGACATTACTCACTAAGCAGAAAGGTCATGGTTTACCTTAACATTTTGCTATAATCTTATTGATTTCATAATTTCTTTCTTTATAATCTGAAAATTTGACTTTAGAGATATAATATTGACAATGTTGGGTGGTTTTCTGCTCTAAACTTTGCACATATATATTATTCTGTTGAAAAATTGAACTTGGCATGTATAGTTATAGCCCCATGAATCTCCTAAGGCAACTGCTCTTGCCTGTATGACTTCGTATGGAACTATTTAAACATGACCCCTTCTTCAATGCTTAGCTCAAATCTAACCACCTTTTAGAACATTCGATGTGTTCCTCAGTCCTCCCAAGTTACCAAGTATTTGTAGCTTTTATAGTCAGAGCTGTGGTATGGCAAAAATATTTAACTTCAACTTGTTTGACTTTGCAAATAGATGTTCAGTATATCATGAGGCTAATATCTTTTTAAAATTTTAATTTGCATACAAGTAAGATAAGTATCCTCCATTATCTGAATTGAATTGGTTCCTTGGTTAAGATGCTAAAAGTTCAGATTCAACCAATAAATAGTATTTATGATAAAACATCAAAGTCTTGTTTTACACCTTTTCCTCTTCTATCATCTCATCCACTCTCAGAAGTTGTCACAATCAACAATTTGGGAATAACTTCCAAGATTTTTTGCTACATACCTATGAACATATATGCAAATGTATTTTAAAAAGAAATTTAATAAACAATATCATCCTGTATGAATTATTGAGACATCTACTTTTATTTTTGTCTTTGCTATTGTTGTTTGTTTTGGGGGAAAGATTATGTATTGAAATTATACATGAGATTATTCATTTTAATGTCTGCATTATATTTCATAGTAAGGAAATTACTATTGTTTATTTTAACCATCCCCCTACTAAAGGCCATTTAGATTTTGTTGTTTGTTACTATAGCAAACAACGTTCCCACAAACATCCTTGTGCGTAATTCTTTGTAAACACATAGAAGCATATCTCTAGTATGGAGACCTAAAAGTGGATTGTTGAGAAAAATGATATTTGCATTAAAACTTTTGATAAATGCACTTAAAATGCTGCTTTTGTTTCTTCTTTCTTTCCAGCCATCAGAGTATCTTTTTAGGCATCGTCTTCTTCAGTACTCAGAATTTATTTTCTCTTTCTCTCATTAAATTTATAATAAAACTATTTCATAGCATCACATATAATGATGCTTTCTTTTTTCATTTAACCTTTCATGTGTACATGCCAAAGTCTACACTATTTTCCTTCATTCAGCAGATATTTAATGAGCATCTTGGTGACCCTGAGATCACTGGTTAACAAAATAAGTAAGTTCTTTGTCTTCAAAGGGTTGAAACTATAGTGATGGAACAAATATTAAATAATTTTAAAGTTATTTTCTATATTAATAAATGCTCTGAAGAATATTTGAAGAGAAAAATATTGTGGAGCATCAGCAGGAGGAGTCTCTCTTAGAAGGTAGCATTTCAGGGGAACCTGAGTCATGGTGGGAAACCCACACATGGGGTACAGAAACTTCAGGCAGAGGAAACATCTAAGGTAAGTCCCAGTATTACTGGAGCATAGAAAAGGAAGGCAGAGGTTGGATAGTGCAGGTATTGCAGAGCAAGGTAAAGCAGTTGATTTTTGTTGTAATTGAGATGGCCAATCATTGAAAGATCTTAAGTAGGGGTGTGCTATAGTTGGATTTCATTTCTAAAGACTTCAGAGACCAATGAGAAGGCTGTAACACTGTTCTAGATGGGAGACGATGTTTGTTTACATTATAGTGACAGCAGTAGAGATGTAAGGTGTGCTTGACTTTGGAAGTATAGTCTAGCGTGTATGCCTTTTATATTTCCTACCATGGTGTGGCATACACAATGGTATGTGAACGTGGCATACACATTCTCAGTCTTGTTGAATGAATGAATGTTTGGAGAAGGACACTTGGGGGGAGATATGTAAGCAATAACAAAAGGCCAATGATACATCGACCTTTGATTACAGGAAATATTGACATTTGAATTTGCCGGTTGTCATTGAGTTCATGGAGGATGCCACTATGGATTGTAGTCTGAACTTGTGGTATCAGTAGAGACAATACAAGGGTAATTCCTTTGTACATCACAATGCACCGCTGAAAGAAGGGATTTCATTTGAGGTTAAAGAAATTGTGCAACGGGAAAGCAGGAGTGGTTTGACTTTCAGGTAATCTCTTTTCTATACCTTTATATCTTCCCATCATTGTCTCTACTTGCCCTGTTGATATTTATTGAGTTAAAAACACCTTTCCTTAAAATTGAAACCTAGAACTTTGAGGGTCATGTCATCATGATAATGTTCATTGTGGAACAAAAATGAAAGCCACGAGTTGTGGAACCTATTCTCGGCACAAACCATTTCATTATTCAAGATATAAGGAGGCCACAGGATTTGCTGAGAATCAGTTCCATATTTGGATTTCTTGTTTCCTAGAAATTAACTGTGTCATAACAGGTCCACGCTTCTCTTCTGGGAAGCAGCTGGCATGGAAGGGAAAGAACATGTCATTCGAACATTGGTTTATATCCTAGTTCCGCCACTTATTAATCACAAGAGCCTGGGAGAAACACTTCACTTTTGGGCTCAGTGTTCTAAGCTGCAATATGGTAGCAGCAATCTTACTACTTTCAAAAATAACTACTTTTGAGTGTTGTTTATATGTGAGATCACTTATACAAAGTAACTCAAAGCATGGTCTCTTTGTTTCCTTCCCAAGGAAGTAGCTGTCAGATATAATTTTCTTGCTTATCAATATTGCTGTGTTGAGAGCATGGAGGTGTGATAGATTCCAAGGCAAAGGTTCACCAGGGTGCTAAATTGGGTGCAGTGTCTTGGCTTCCCTTTAGGACATGCAGGGACAGCAAAAGTAGCCAAGGATTAAGTGAGCTGATGGGTTTCCGTGATTAAGCCAGAATCTTAACCAATGCTAAAGATATACGACCTGGGAGAATTAGAAGTCAAAGCTGGCTATGTTATAAGTACATTTGGATGAAGGCTGCCGAGAACGGAAAAGGACTTACCCTTCATTTAGACGTGAGTGTTTGACTTGGTTACACTTTGTTTCCTCTCCAAACTGGCACTTTATTTTCAGCCCTCAAATAAAGAGCAACCATTTGATTCTGTAA